CAAAATTCTGAAAGCTTTAAATCTTACTGCTAAGAAGGAAAAATTGCTTGAACCTAACACCTTTAAAGTTACGAAATAATCCTTTAAGTATTTATTGAGAAATGTAAAAAAAAATGTCAAAAACTGAAAGAGACTCTTCCAGTATTGTAGACGTCATGGGAATTATGAGAATTCTTCTGATATTAAAAAGAACTTTTTTCACATCGAGCAAATGTTTTTATTCTTTTCAAAAATCAAGGAGTAGCTAACAGAAGAAAATATTCATTTAGTTAAATAGAAGCTTTTTTTTTGCGTCACGGCATATAAAAAAAATCAGTCTTTAATGGGCTAAGAATTTCAAGGTCTAATTTATTTGGTTTAACTCTCAATAATTTTTAAAGAGCAAATTATTATTTGCAAATAAACTTCGGAGGAAAAAAAACGTTATAAAAAATAAAGATGAAAAATAAAAAAAAAATATTTCGAAATTTTACTTATAGCAACTGAGGTAGATGAAATAAAAAAACATCTGAACCAGTTTGAATGGGCGAGAAAACTTCTGCGGTTCATTATTAAAATTATTGCTTTTGAAAATTGCAGTTGGAGAAAAAAATAACTCTAACAAAATACTTTTCTCGCGTACGGAAGTTAGATTTAGTTTGTTTATCGAAACCAGATTTTAAATATTTAGTTCCCAAAAACAATTTACGTAGCTACTACGTTTAGCTCAGAAATGGCTAAATGAAAGCACATTATTTTAGTACTGCATAACTCTAAGCATCGTTTCAAGTGGAGGTATTTTTAATCTCTGTTTCCTCCGACAATCCAACAGGCTCTAATGTTATTTGTCTCATGAATTTCATTTAGGCGTAAAGGCGTTTCCTCTTGGAATCTATTTATTTCTGACCTCTAATGTGATTTTAAAATTATATATTAGGGGCAGTCTTAATGGAACACCCTGCATACCAACAAAACAAAGCAAAAAAGCAAATCTCAGAAAAAGCTGTTGTTTTCTCGAATGTATTATTCACTTAGAACTAATCGTTTATTTTTTTTTTAGTAATACAAATTCGTACAAACAGCATGGAATTATCACAATTTTTAGAAATAATTATTCTGAATCAATTTAAAGCACAGTTAGAAAGAATAAGAACATGATTAAAATGGGTGTAGAACAGTTTCAGACAAAATTGAGAGGTTTTGAATCAAGTAGGGAGCTACAATTTCATTACTTATCTTTGTGTGGGCTAAATGCCTTTGTGAGAAAGCAAAATTACTATAACATAGTTTAATCATTTTGCTGAATAGTCATTGATTAAATTAAATTACTTACTAGTATGTTACCTTTGAATAATGCAATATAAAATATTAAGTAGTAAAAATATACCAGCTCTTTTAAACGAAAGTCGTTTTTCTTTTTTTTTTAATAATGACTATTCTGCCTGGCCTTTTTCAGAAAAGGTCAGCTTTTTTGCCTTGCAAAAATATTACTTAATTATCACGGAATAAAATAATTCATATCTGACTACTTGCTTTTAATTATGACACTACAATAACATAAGAGTACAAGCTTTTGGTAATTATGTAAATAACTGCGGTTGGAAAAAGTAATAATTTGAACGAAACATCGATCCCTTGTAAAGAAGTTGTATTTAATTTAGAATGGTTTGCCACATTTAAAATATTTAGTTAACTATCGTGATCATCAGTCGTGAATTAAGCACCTGCGTTACAGAAGACCAACTGAATACCTAAAAACTGATAGGAAATTCAAGCCTATAACATTTACGACATCCCCATAAAATATTTGTCACTACTTTTTACATTTTTCCAGAATGTGAACACCCTCTCAAAACATTGGTTTCTTACCGTCTCAAAGCCATAATCCAGAGATCTTACATAATACTTGCTTGGAAGTAGAATTTGGAGACACAATCTGCAGTAAAACCTTCATAAATTCTACACAGTCTGACAGACAAAATTATGAAGAAAAAAAAATTCGGCTTAATCTAGTAATCTAGTATCTATTAGTAGTAGTAGTATGTATATATATATGTATATGTATATATGTATATATGTNATAGAGAGAGAGAGAGAGAGAGAGAGAGAGAGAGAGATGATCCAAAGGCAACCAAGGGGATTAGCGGGCACCTTGTCCTAATAAATTAAAGTAAATACTAAAAAACTTTTGGCAGAAAGTATTTGCAAAAAATCAATATAATTGAACTAAATGGCTGCTAGCTACAATTATAATCAGAAGAAAAAGATACTTAAATTTTGTTTCACTGAGATCATTAAGTTCGAATTGTAACAAGTAAAAAAAAATATTTAATTAGTTTTTAAAATAGTCTTTGCATTAAATGTATGACGATGAAATTATTCTTTTAAATTAAATAAAAGCTATCGAAAATATTTGATTTTTTTAAGGCTTAAAACAACGGCTATACTTTTAAAATAAAAGGATAGCTGTAGAGGATTTTTGAGTTCAAAGAGTTAATAGGTTTAAAAAAAATTCCGAAATTATTGGGAGGGGGGCATGTACCCACGGTGCTTCCCTTGATGCGACGCCTACGCTACAGTCTGTAAAAAAGTAACTCGAATTTTCCTAAATTAAGAATTTTTTTTTGTTGTTTTTATAAATTTTAATTTTACTTGTCTCTTAAATTCTTTAATTAAAAAAATTCCAATTAATTAAAGTGCATTATTTGGAATTTTTTAGAATTATCTATTTTTCTTTAGCTTATATATCTGCCAAATATTTGCACACAGTTTTGAACTGAACCAGTACAAATAGTAATTGAGTAAGTTCAGGAACTAAAAATGATGTTTCTATTTCTCTTTTCATTAACTTTTTAGCTTTGCTTTCCTTTCTTCTTCATTTTTTTTTTCAAATCTGAGATAATAATTTTAATAATAAACGAGAACCTCGCTCTGTGTCTTAACACCCAAAACTTTCATTTCTCTATCCTTTACGTTTTATATAAAATTTGTACTCAAATTAGCTTCAGGAAGTTTAAGCTTTAATCTTAACAATTTTTGATTAAATATATTTATCGATATTTGCACTTGCGTTCCGAATTGAAAGCAAAATTATCTAGCTGAAGACAAACTTAATTAAAATATCTCAATACAGATTCCACATTTCATGTTTTTATTTCGCTTTTGAGTCTTAAAACTGAAAATTTGCAAAAAATTGATATGAGGTAAAAAAAAAAAAAAAGACACCCAAAGTTTGAAACACTATATTTGATTTTTCAGTGAGAGTTAAAAAACAAAATGGAATCTTATCGCGCGTTTCCAGCTTTAATGCAAACTTAATTCTTTCGTCGTTTTAACGAGAACTAATAGCATTAAATTTTTAAATCACAAAACAGTTCCTTACATCTTTAAGATTTTTGTGTGATGGATCCTTTTATAAAAAAAAAAAAAAAAGAAGCTCATTTTGAAATTTGATGGATAAGAAGCAGACGTCAAAATTTAGCACGACCTATTTAAACATGTTTAAAAAATAAATTAATTTTTTATTTCCATTTTGATATATCATGTTTTAATTTAGGTTCATTAAATAGGTTTTTACCTCTAGAGCTTGGAAGCCGTTAATATGTACCAAACCCAGAAAATCTGCAGATTCATTTGATTAATAAATGTGTTTTGTTATATTTATTCGCTGGATTCTTAATTTATTGAAAAATAAATAAATGACATTATGTTAATTTCCTGGAGTCTAACAATACTTTAAAACCTTTGATTTTCTGTATATTTTTTAAAGTGAATGATAATGGATTCTATCAGCTAATGTGTTAATTGTTTGATTGTAGTAACTATGTTTTTTAGACACCAAAAAATAAATAAGTAAAATTTCGTTGATCATAATAGTACTTTAAATTCTTTGTATTGTAGTTTTCAAAGTGACTAGAACTTCTAGCTACTAATATGTTGATGGTTTGATTGTAGTAATTTGATATTTTAGATAGCGAAAAAAAAAACATTATGTTAATTTAAGGGTAATAAGTAACCCCAATGTAATTTGAAAAATCGATTTTACTACATTTTAGTTACAACAATTAACACATTTGCTAATAGAATCAATGTTAAATCACTTTAAAAAATATAATACAAGGAATTAATAGGTTTAAAATATTATGATGATCAAGGAAATATTATTTATTTACTTTTCGGTGTCTAAGGAATCAAGTTATTACAATCAAACACAACTAGCACATTAGATGATAGAAACCACCATCAATCGTTTTTAAAAAATATATGCAAGGAATCAAACGATTTAGAATATTATTACAAGAAAATTCACGTAATGTCATTTATTTATTTTTCAATATCTGAAGAATCGAGTCAATAAATACAATCAACAAATTGATAGAATGAGAGAAACAAACTTTTGAACTTTAGCGATACGGAAACCGCACTTTATCCAGACAAATTGTAATTCTGCACTTTAACCAACGGCTATAGTGAAGCTGTAGAATAGTGATATTAACGGCCTTCGAGCTTTAGCGGTAACATTTATATTTTCTTGTTCCTTGAAAAATCATAAGCTCAACCGTTAAAAAAAAGATTTAGAATCTTTCGTTTTTCTTCAGTTTAGGGAAAGGAATCGCAGTGACTCAGAGGACAGCAATAAGGTGAACCAGGTTCGAATCCCCGTCGTGTCTGGTAGATACAATTTCCGTGCCCGGCTCGCACCGACCACAGTGATGACGTAAAATATCCTCAGAGGTTGACGGATCATGGGTTAGAGTCCCATTGCTGTCAGGCTAGCCGCGGGAGGTTTTCGTGGTTTTCCTCTCCATGTAACGCAAATGCGGGTTAATTGCATCAAATAGTCCTCCACGAAGGAAAACTTCTCCTAATACTTGATCCAGGAGTTCCCTTGTCTTCTGGATTGGGTTCGAAATTACAAGGCTACGTAGTTGCACATTAGTAGTCGTAAACTCGAAAATTAAGTCGGCTGTTCAACGACGGTCATAAAATAAACTAAAATTTATTGAAAAGAGTGAACTTACCGATTTCAAGAGCATCCGGATAAACCGTGGCCACCGAGTAAGAGGTTTTCGGCGTCAGTAATCTCGCTTCCCGGCAATCGCCTTCACAGATGCGGCTGACGGCGGGGCTGAACTTATCGGACTTATCCAGCCCCAGGATGGATTCGATACTGAAATCTAGCTTCCTCGATGATATCTTTGGCGCCGCCCTGGCACCCGTCATACTCGGACTGTTTTTGTGTGAGTGGAAAGGCGCCTTATTATTATTATTTTGCAATCTGTGTGGATCGTAATAACGGTTCACGAATGTGAAAGTTGGTGGACTTGGTGTGCCGGAAGGAGAAATGGATACCTCCAAGTTTTGGATCGGATACCTCATCTGCATCAATGCATGCATGACGGGTATCAAAAAATAAATCGCTACTCCTTGTCTGCTGTGTGTCAACTTTCTTTAAATCTTTGCAGGGAAGAGACTATGTTTTCACCCGATACAAAACAATAACAGACTTCATGACTAAAATATATACAGTCATCACTCTGATTTGCCCACCCCCTTCTCCGTAGTCCCCGAGAGCCAATCAGAAGTCACCTTTCAGGATGACGTCGAGGGATGGGGTGATTTGGTTGGTAGAATTTCCTGTAATAGCGATGTAGAGGGTGTTTCCATTTTTGCATTAGTAAAGAAGAGTTGATGGCAGAAATCTGTTTATAGGAGGAGGGGGGGGATCTGTTACAGAGTAAGATGGGGGGGCACTCTCATTAAAGTAATTAGCCCCCAGCAGAGAATTTTAAGGTGTCGGAAATTAGTGACCTCTATTATCATCTGAAATTCAATTAGGGGAAAGAATTTCGAACTTATAGCCGTTCCCGTCTTTTCCACTTTAGACAAGTCGGAGAATCGTTCTCGAAATGGAATATTTTGAGTACTCTAGAGAATAATTAAATAAATATTTTGTAATTAACCTAATAGCGGATTTAATATTAATGAGTTGGAAAGAATAATTTTTTAAATTTAATTTGGTTTTAAAGTAAATAATGTCATTTGTAGCCAATAAAAAGATCGATGATTTTCTATTTTTTTTTTTATTTATTCATTCAAGTTTTCTTTTTTTTTTAAAAATCTTTCCTTGCTGAATCAATTTTGCTTTTTCTACTAATTGTAATTTAGAAACTGTTTCACATTTTGAATTTCGTTTCATCATCGCTTAATTTTTATCTTAACGAAAAGTAGAACTCTACTTAACAAAATATATGAAATATATTTTGAATCTTGTTACTACTATTTTACTTTTATCTCTAGATATCTTAGAGAATATATTAAATTCTGAATCTCGTTCCATTACCATTTTATTTTTATCTGAGCTTTCTTAGAACTTTTTGAACTTTTTATAAGGAACTTGTTAAGAACTACTTTCACTTATTATATTACAGATTATCTTATTTTTAATTAAAATACTAAAACGAATAACAAAAGCTTGATGCTTGATGGCTCATTAAAAACGATACTTTATATCATGACCTCAAACATCCTCAACAGACAAGCTGTATTTTTGTTCAAGTTGAACTTTTTGTTCAAGCAGAATTTCAAATTTATATCTTTTTTTTTTTACTCTGTAGTTTCATCACCACATTATATACTGACATTTCTCCTAATATATCCTAAGTAGATATTAAAATATCGAATATATATATATATANTGTTAAAATTGGTCTGATCATACTGGTATAGAGGAGTTTTCGGTTTTGCAAAGAAATATTTGGATTATAAATCAGTGGTTGAATAATATTTGTTGCTGCTATTGCTTTATCAGTGATGTGTTTAATGTGGTCTGCCCAGGAGAATTTATTATTTATAATTAGTCCAAGATATGTAGCTTTTGTTACTATTGGAATGGGGGTGTTGAATAATTTCGGTTGACAGTTTTGCTGGATTCTTTTCCTTCTTTTTTGTATGATTAGGATTTGTGATTTTTCAGCGTTTACTGCTGTCCTCCATTTCATGCGCCAGTTTTCTATTTCTATTAATTGATCCTGTAGTTTTAAGAGTGCTAAATTTGGGTTTTGCGATTTGATATCCACTTACAGAACGAGTCATATAATACAGAATATAGTTAAAAAAAGAAAGTGGTAGCAAATATATGACTAAACATTTATTTTATTTATGAATATTATTAGTTTGACTTATTAACTTGTCAATCACTACAGATTCAATTCTCAAATATATAAGTTAAATTTCTTTCAATTACTTTTATAAAAGGTTTTGGGTTGATGCGCACAACTGGTTCACTTTTTAAACAGTCTGCACGAACTACTTATAAAAGACCGTGTGGAGGCTTCTTGATGTTGGAGGTGATGGTATGGTCCCCTCTTAAAGATATATAAGCCGTACAGCGTGATTTCATACTTGAAATAAGGCAGTTCATCTTTTCTAGCGGCAATTGGTCCCACTCGTTCAGCAACGCTGTTTTCATTCCTTGGAGGGTTCTTGGAGGGTTGTAGCGGGTTGCAAATACCCTCCCCAGAGCGTCCCAGATATGCTCTATCGGATTGAAGTCTAAAGATCTGATAGGCCAATCCATCCAACGAATATCCTCACTCTCTAGAAATCCGTTGACCAGAAGAGCTCTATGTGGTCTAGCGTTATCGTTCATTAAAATGAACTCAGGGGCAACTGCATCCCTGAACTAGCGAACGTAGGGCACCATTACCTCATCGCTATTGTCGTTTGGAAACAGTCACCCTTGACACACGGGTTCCTGTGGCTGTATGCAAGTCACGAGAGAGCTGAAAAGCTGTAGCCCCTCTGTTACGTCTGGCCATAATGTGCAAATGGCGATCTTCTCTGGCCATCACGGTTGTCCGATGTCCTTGCCAGGCTTTCTCTCGATGGATTCTGAAACTGTTTCCATAAGTTACACACGACGCTGGGCGTTAAATTTAACTCTCTACAAATCTGGACCTGAGATTGGCCTGCTTCTAGCCTCCCCGCAATTAGCCTCCTCATTCCATCATCTAAACGTTGGTGGTTAACTCATTTTTACTGTTACAATTTGAATTTAACCTATTGATGCAAAATAAACTCAAGAAATTCGCCGAGGTGTGCTAGCGAACAAAATGCATCTTAACTTACGCGCACTTTTAAAGCCTGTTTCTCTACTGGCTCCGCCTATACACACGTGTACACTTACGTATTTCATGCACTAGATTTGCAATTTTATCTAGAAGCAGTGGTTTTACATTCAGTTCAGTTTTTTTCATGAAATTCGATAAAAGATGCAAATTCTCTTAATTTATTTTACCAGTGTACATATATATCTTTATATAATATAAGAAGAGAGTGGAATGATAACATATAGCCAATCACAGAAGACTTCTGGTTAGTAATGCACAAAACGGCCAATCAAAATTGAGAACGCATGTGTGTGAAAAGGTAATAATTTTTAATAATGCTGTCTGCAGAAATGTTAGAACTAAACTTACCAGCTAAATCTTGTTGCGATTTTTATTTTCCATTGAATGTGTGAAATATATTGAACAGAGTTTACTTTAAAATACTTATATCTTTTATAAAAAATGGATCACCGTGAATATCTTAAGCCAGTGTTTCCCAAAGTGTGGTACGCGTACCCCCAGGGGTACGGGAACAGTTTAGCGGGGGTACGCGTTCTTATGCGAAATATCTTGTACAAACGAAAATTTCAATTCTTTTTTAAAAAAGAAACAAAGCTAGAAATGAAAATTTGCGATTACGTATTTTTCAATTAGCTAGTTTTTGCAGAGTTAACAGTTAATAATTAGTTGTTTCAACAGCCAGTTGTGATTTTTAACTTTAGTGTAATTTTTTCAAAGTAAAAAATACGCTCATTTTTTTATTAGTGGTACACAGCGTTACGAAAAATTTAGAAAGGGTACACAAAAGTCAAAAGTTTGGGAAGCACTGTCTTAGGCGATATCAGCAGCGGCATAGAGCTGAGAGCTGAGCATGATTTAGCTGCACAAAATTAACTGGAAAATAATCGTAGTGCTATCAATACTCGACGGCGGAATGCGCGGCGAAGAAACGTTGAAAAGTCAAGACGTTTAAATGAAAACGAATACCTTGGTGTACTTACGAATACTTCTGATTGAAACTAAAACATTTTGTCAGTTGACAATATTGAAGTTAATTGAGCAATTACTTGAAATGGTATTTGCTTTTGAAATATTACTTAGAATCAACTTATTAATATTACATGTTTTAATTTGTTTGTAATTTTTGTAAAGTTTTTTTTCATCAGGTTTTAATTGTTTTTAGTTTAAAATTTAAATTACTGGGGGGGGAGATAAAGCACCATATAGGGAGCGCTCGGCATCCTATAAGATCAACAATGATTTGAGTTAGGCTCTACCACGCGTGCTTCGGATACGGAGATTAATCTCCGGCTAATGCCCTATAGTAATTTGCTAAATAATATTGCTTCCTCGCTTCATATAAGTTTATAATGTGACATTTTACAATCCTATCATATTCTCTCTATGTGATGCTGGTGCAGAAAAATTTCCAGCTAATCTCCAGGAAAAAGACTTTAAGTTTGAAAATGTAATTGCGTAGCAATTATCAGGGGTTGGCGAGCGGTAGTGAGCAGGGGCGGAGCCCTCTAGTTTATATATATATATATATTTAATTGCCTAAACCTAATAACTTACAAAAGATTATAACCTAAAAATTCAACAAAAATGTCCTTAAAATTGGTCAAAAATTATTGCAAAAGGAAAAATAAAGTCATTTAAATTTTTGAGAGCATATTTAGTATTAGCTTTAAAAGATCATAACAATAAATCATTACTTGTATTTATAAATGTAATATAAAAAAAATAATAATTAAAATTAATTTCTAATTCATAAAAGTAAAATGTAAACCGATGCCTGATAAAGAAAAACAATAATTTATTAAGTTTTAATCTTGATCTTTAAGAACATCAGAATTGTATTGTACAATCAAATGTTTTTAATATTTTTAAAATTGAAAGATTGATCATTGAAAGATTGATCTTGCAGTTTGAAAAAATTTTCTTGTACGCTCAACATCAGCACTTATTATTGAAAAATATTTAAAATAACAAGATTCAATTCAAAATTTCCAGTAATTTATAAAAATGAAATTTAATTTGCCAGCAAAATGCTCTTAAAATGACAAATAACATTCAAATTAAATTAAAATATTACTGAAGAATTGGAAGAAAAAAACAACTAAATTTTAAAAAAACTCCTTAGAAATTTTTAAACCGCGTTTTTTTTTTTCCTTCTTTTTTTTTCTGTTTGAAAATTAGAAATTCATAATATTCGAATCTATATTTTCATCTTTTACCGCAATATTTTTCAGAATACATTTTATTGGAAGAGTAAGTATACCAGAAAATAGAATCCAACTAATATAACATAATTATTATATAAAAAAAAAGTTCTTTTTTTGTCATGCTACTGCGTTCCTCATAATTCGCTTGGTTAAACGAAAATAAATACATAAATGTATATCTAAATAAATAGGTATAAAAATAATAAAAATAAA